GGGGGGAGCCGAAGCAGTGAGGGCAGCTGGATCCAAGCCAGCATTTTGGAAATATAATGGGCTCCACTGCAGCCACTGCCCAGGCCAAGCACAGCTCTCCACCATGGCTACGTGCTGCAGCAGGCTCACAAAGAGATGCCCAGCAGACACCAGGAGTGCAGGCTGCCCCACCCAGCCCTGTGGAGGGAAGGACGGTGGGAGGGCTCGGTAGCCTTCCTCCATGCCATCCCTGCACTGGGCCAGACTGCCAACTGGCTGAGCACTTAAGGCAACTGGGGGGACAGTGCTTCCAGCTGCGCCAGACCCAGGTGCTCTGAGGAAAGGCTGGGTGCGCCAGGGACTTCCCTCCTGCCACAGAAGGCCCCAGCAGAGCAACACAGAGACCTGGGGCAGCCCCGAACCAACAGGAGGGACGAGGAGGCAGAGGCAGTAAAGTCATGGTGTGCTTCCAGCTGCGCCAGACCCAGGTGCTCTGAGGAAAGGCTGGGTGCGCCAGGGACTTCCCTCCTGCCACAGAAGGCCCCAGCAGAGCAACACAGAGACCTGGGGCAGCCCCGAACCAACAGGAGGGACGAGGAGGCAGAGGCAGTAAAGTCATGGTGCTTCCCCTGGGGCAAGGTCTGAGGCTCATGGCTTCTGCTGTCTGCCCGCACAGCCTGTGCCTCCTGCGGCTGTGCCAGACAGGAGAGGAGGAACAGGACATGAACCTAGCCAAGCATCTAAAGGAGGGGCATTGCCGGCAGGGAGAGGGGGCAAACAATGATATCCCACAAGGATCATAGGTAGGAGCCTGCGGAGGGGACGCTGGCACCATTCCCGTGCACAAGGGTGACCCGGGGCTTCAGCCTGGCCTGCCCCAACAGGGCTGCAGGATGGAGCCCATCCAGGGCAGGGAACATGGTGGATGAGGGGTGAAGGGGTAACACACACAAAGAGCCAGGCTTCAAGTCCCAAATACCCACTGTCCTCACAAACAGAGTCCCAGCCCAGCCTGGGGCAGGGCTCCGCTGACGCTGTCTCCTCCAGGGACCAGGTTGACATCTAGGGAGGGCTGGGCCAGACTCACAACTCTGCCAGTTGCCATTGTCCTCTTCTTGTCCTGCCTGAGCTGGCTTGGGCTAAGGCACGCCGAGCACTACACAGCTGTCTCCTGGTCTTCCCGCTGGATCATCTGGTAGTGCTGTCGGTTCTCGAGGTAGGCAGCTAAGTCAGGGTCATTGGCTTTCTCAGCCCGGTGCTTGGGGGTGTCTCCCTGCATAGGGGAGGCAAAAGATGTCAGAGCACTGAGCGCTGCCTAAACACTGCCTCGGCACCAAAAGGTGCCCCCATTCCCCCACTGAAAAGGTGGCTGCAGCTGGGTCCAGCAGAGCCTGCAGCCGAGCCCCAAGGTGAGTGGGAGCCAAATGCCCAGGTGCTCCCGAGGAGCCCGACTTTGCTGCAGGGCTAGAAGCTGTCCCCTGAAGGGCCACTGGCCCCACGTGCGGGCCAGGACAGAGACCATCCCTGTGCATCACCGGCCCCCTGAGAGGAGACAAAGGTTGGTCCCCGTGACCTGCTCTTCCCCGGCGCTGGGGAGGCAGGCAGGAGAGGGTGAGGAATGAAGGGTATGTCTGGGGAATGCCCGGGAATACCAACCCCCCTTCCCTCTTGCTGCCTGGCTAGCGCTCCCGTTCCCGGAGGAGGATCACATTTCACCAGCTTATTGCAGCCATCTGGACTGTGTCCACTAATGAACTCCCGCACTCCATAAAAAGCAAATCTGTTAACAGCTCCCAGCTCCGTCTCCTCTCCCCCTTTCTTCCCCCTGCTCCTCGCTCCTCCTCGCCAAGCGCCTGGGCTCTGCTGTGCCGCTGAGAAAGGCCGCGGAAACCTGGCGCTCTGCCGCTGCCATTGAAAACCGGCCCCGGAAGGGATGCCCAGCCTGCCTGGCTCGTCCCCTGGTGCGCAGCGGGGCACGGGCGGCTGCAGCAGGGTCTGGGGCCTCCAGGGCAACCCACAGCCGTATTTCTCCAGCAGGAACAATGGCCAGATGCATGGAGCCTCCGCCGGGCCTGGACGTGGCTGTGGACAAACGCCCACCTATGCATGGCTGTGGAGAGGTGCGATGCACCAAGAAACCCCCTCTTTTGCATATGCACCCAAAGACCCTGGCACACCCCACGGTCCTGCACACATCCCCCCCAACACACGCAGGCAGGGCTAGGGAGACCGCTCTGTGCTTTGGTGCCAGCTCTCCTCCGGGGCCTCATCTCCGCAGCCCCTGAACGCAAGCGCTCATTTAACAAAGCGGGGGAAAGACCAGAGGAGGAATTGAGTTTCTTTCCCGTCCCTCTGCAGAAGCCC